CCGGCGGCGCCGCGCACACACACAAAAAGCCACAGCTGGGCTCGGACAGCACGTGAGTAGGCTAACAAATTGAGCTTTTTTTCGCTCCTTCATCAGCAAATGCACACAAAAGCACGTTGGAATGACAGTGTTGAGGAGTATCCACGTAAACGAGTTTTGTTTCCGATCCGCATTTTACCCAAAACCAGCAGGTTCACGACTTCTTCAACCCCTAACACTGTTCGGTCCCATTGCCATATTGGCTCAAATGCATAGGCAATTACACTTATTATGGACTCAACAGTGCTTTCAAGTTCGTCTTCCTCCATTTCAAAACAAGCGTGTGTTCAAAATGTAAAGAAATGCTTATATTACTTTACTGGCCAACGGAGCGAACCAACCCCGTGATGTCACACGCGGTGGTACTGCAAGATGGCTGCGCCCTTGCTCCAAAAGCTATAACAAAACAACCATTTTTCTTTAAAATGGTTACATTAATCATGTTTGTTATATATTTTTTTTATTAAAATGGAAGTTATTTTCCTAAATAATGTAAACTTGACTGACTGCTTCATTTCCACTTTAAGGTCGAGCCTGACAGTACTTCCCTCTTTGGAGGTTCGTTATCCAAAGTATGCCGTTCCCTAAGGTGGTGAGAATGATAGTACTTCCCCTCATTTTGAGGGCCATTATAGTGATTACTTGAGATTACTTTCTGCAGTTAGGTTGATAATTTTATTACTCCTCTCACTTGTTATACTTTGCTATACTGTGCGAGTCGTTATACTGAGTACTCCACTCCCTGGAGCTCTGTGCTGCAACTGGTTGGAGTTGTCAGGTTCTCTGTGAGCCTCCTTGATAAGCTGCCCTTTAGGTTGAGCTTCGCAGTGCTCCTCTCACTCTAGAGAGCAGGGGTGAGAAACTCAATTCCTGGAGGGCCGGATCCCAGCAGAGTTTAGATTCGACCCTAATTAAACACACTTGATCCAACTAATCAAGTCCTTCAGGCTTATTTGAAAACTACATGGTATGTGTTTTTGAGCAGGGTTGGAACAAAACTGAGGAATTGAGTTTGACACCCCTGCTCTAGAGGGCTGTTATGCTAAGTACTCTGCTACCTAAGAGCTCTGTGTTGTAGGTCAGTAGGCTCTCTTTGAGCCTCCCTGACAAGCAGCCAACATAACGACTCTACACCTCTCATCTCTTCGCTTTTTGGAGCTCCGTACTGCAGCTGGTTCAAGTTGTTAGGTTATCTGTGAGCCTCCTTGATAAGGTGTCCTTTAGGTTAAACTTGGCAGAACTCCCTCACTTGTAAGGGTCATTATCCTGAGTACTCCCTAAGGTAGTGAGTATGATAGTACTCCTTTCACTTTGAGGGTCAATATGCCGAGTACTTGCTCCTGGGAGCTCTATCATGTGCATTGGTTGAGCAGGATTAGTACTCATCTCACTTTAGAGAGTTGTCATGGCGAGTACTCCGCTCCCTAGAGCTCTGCCTGCAGCAGTATTAGGATGTCAGGCCTTCTAGCCTCCCTGTAACTTTTTTTGTATGAGCCTGGTTCAGGCTTTTTACAGGTTGAGTGTGTGTATAATACCCAGACACCTGGCCATATCCCCTTAAAGGAATCATATTTAGATATGATTCCAAGCTTTTCACTTGGCTACACTAGCAGGTAAGTTCCTTTAGGGCATGCAGCTTGGGCTTTTTGGCCAAAGGGGATAGTGTCACTGACAGCCATCAAGGGGCGACTCCGACGATCTCCTGTGGAGTTGGTGCTTAGTGCTTGCCTTTTACGTAATTTGGCATGCATTCTTCTCAGCATGACAGAGTGGGTATTTCATTCCCCATAGCGACCTCTAGAAAACAGTGTGAGTTCCCTTGAAAGGGAATGTCTCAGATTAGGCATGTAACCATGGTTCCCTGAGAGGGAATGAGACACTGCGTCCCCTCGCCATGCCTCTGGGATGCCTGCTTTGTGTTCTTCAGATAAAGAAGTGGATGGTGTGCTCCTCCGGTGCCCTTTTATACTACGGTCACATTGATAGTGACATCATAGGGTGTTGCCAGCCAATTTTATTGTTGTGTTTAGACATGTGATTCGGACACCGGGTCATGCTGATGGTGTTCCTCATAGCAATCTCTAGAGGACGCAGTGTCTCCTTCCCTGTTAGGGAACCATGGTTACATGCGTAACCTGAAACGTTTTGTTCTACTACTAAAAAATGATTTGTTTATTTTAAACAAATAAAGATAAAATTGAGTTTAATGACCACTTCATACATGTAACCACATCTGTAATTGCAGTAAAGGTTAGTAGAACCACCACTAGCCCAGAATGCAAGTTCAGAGCATAGGCTCAACTGTAAGATATCTTTACACACGCTCAGAAAAATATATGCAAAAATTATACATTAGGCTATGGGTACAGTAGCTTGTCACTGGGACAGTACCCTCAAAAAGACACCTTTGTAACTTCTTTACCCCTAAAGGGTTTGTGATATTACCATAAGAGTACATATTACTACTCTAGGGGCAGTCATGGCCTAATGTTTAGAGAGTCAGACTTGTAACCCAAAGGTTGCAGGTCTAGCGGCAGGAATTGTCGGTGGCGGGAGTGAATGACCAGCACTCTCTTCCATCCTCAATACCACGAGTGAGGTGAGACCCTTGAGCAAGGCACCGAACCCCCAACTGCTAGTATCATTGATACTTAATTAATAGTTAATATTTGGAAATACATTTTATTTTAATATTTCCTGCTTTCATGTTAATTTTAGTTAAAGTTTAAGTGTGTTTTTGTCATTAATAAAATGTCTATATAATATTTGTTTGTTTTTATTTCAGTTTTAGTTATTTTAGAACAAGTTTAACCAATGAAAATGAGAAGTATTGCGTTGAAAACTGGCTGAAATAAAATAATATAGGGTTTCAGGCATTATTTTATTTCAGTTAACATTTATTTTATTTCAAGTAACGGAAATGTTTTTTTTATGGTTTTAGTTAACTAAAATAACCCTGACAGGTAGTGCTCAACCTAAAACAGAGACTAGCTGCTGAGTAGTGAAAATGGCACAGTCTATCATCCAGCTCTTAATAACACTAAAAGGGCACAAACACTGAAACGTGTAAAAGGACGGCCATCAAGGTGGTTCCCTTTCTCCTGCCCCAGAGTATGTTCACAGCAGTGTTAATTTTGACAGCAATTTTTTATTTAGTTTTAGTCATAGTCTTTTGACTAAAATGCCATTTTAGTTTTAGGCATATTTTAGTCATCTGAATTGTTTTTAGTTTTAGTCTAGTTTTGGTCGACTACATATCATAGGATTTTAGTCGACTAAATCTACAGTAAATTTAGTGGGCTAAAATCTAATGGGTTTAGTTACAGTGCATTTATTAAGCATTTCTCTAAAATTTCCAAACTCATTATATAGGTTTGATATTAAGGTTTTATCATGATAGACACCGATTTAACTGTGGTGACACACAACATGCCTTTATGCTAAAATTAAATAAAACCACTTCTCAAAGAACAAGAACATGGTCTTCTTTTTGATGAAATACCAATGTTATATAGGCTAATTATGTATTCTTTATAGTAACTTGTTTACCATATTCTTCATTCTTTCAAGCAGATATATTTATTTCTATAAATAAATTTAGATTAACCTTTAGGGCTACTAAAGTTTTTCAGTCAAGAGCAGTGCGTGATTTTCTGTCTTTCTTTTGTTGCTTGATTAACATCAATGGCTCGGACAATAGCAACTAAATGAGGCTGCTATCCATTTAAAACTGAATGCACAGTTGCAATGGATGCAATGTACTGATACACGTCCTCCCTACTGTTAACGTTCACTTAAGACGTAATCAACTGTGTTTACGTGAATACCCGTCAAAACGGACAATTCAACATCATTTTGTGTGTAATTCTCCTTTCATGCAACGCGAAAGAGTTGTAGCGTCTGGACCAATCAAACACACAATATATATTTTGTTAGCTATATTTAACAAATACTCTGTAACACCCCTCAGTTAACAAGCCATATGAGGACCTATGGACCCTTCCCCCGAAATGCGTAACACCTCAGGAGGGCAGAACAGGCCTCTGGTTCCATGGCAACCAACGCTGATATCACTGGGTTTATCTTACTCCCACATATTGACATTTTTTAATGTTTTATGTGACGTGCAGCAAGTGTATGTTAGCTTATGTCCTACCTCCGAACCACGCTGCAGATTCGTTCTGAATGAATCTCTTCCCAAATCGTCCCTCCCTAACATTTTCGTCACGTTTTTATTCATTGACGAAAATGTCAATAGATTTACGTCATAGTTTTTGTCATTTAAAAAGAGTTTTAGTTTGTTATGGTCTCGTTGTCGTCGGTGAAAAAAATTTGTTGACGAAAATTATGATGAAAATTATTCGTCAACGAAATTAACACTGGTTCACAGCACTGTCAGGAAGTGTGAGCACTCAGACCTAATCAAAAACTACTGAGCAACTTCTTTGATGCACTGTAGCCACTTCAAGGGTCTCTAATTGTTCAGACTAGCTGAACTAATGCAGTTTCTATTCTGGTGTATTCCCAGTCATGTAATGCACTCCCAAATGAAGGAATGAAGGAAGGATAGAATGAATGAATGAATGAATGAATGAATGAATGAAGGCCACCACCTTCTTATATGTTTTATATGCACCTATTCTTAAATGCACTCCATTTCATTCTTGTCATACAAACACACACAGCATCGGTACACGTTGTGTATCAGATATGAACATGCCGTTAGTGTGGATAAAAAACCACTGCAACACATTGGAAATACACAAAGGAGGGATTTTGGGAAAAATTACATTAATTAAAATGTTAACTGCTAGCCTTATAACAAAATCTTAGCTCTTTGAAATGTCTGCTGCTTACGGCCAAAAAAACAACAACAACAACAACGGGTCTCCATTAGTATGTTCCTCACAGGGTCATGATGTGATGAGGCTGAGGGGTGGCGACAGAGATAAGAAACTCACACAGGCTGCGAGAACTCTGGAGGCTCGTCGTTGACATTGGCCATACGAAGACGCACAGTGGCCGTGCCGGTGCGGGACACCTCACCCTTATCCACCGCCATCACTACGAATTCATACAGGTGGTTGGGCCTCTCGTAATCCAGAGGGCCTGCCGGGAATATGGTGCCATGGGCTGAAATGATGAAATCTGGACTAAGCGTGTAGTATGTGAGCTCTGCATTCTGCTCCGAATCACAATCACTGGCTGATACTGCAAAAGAGAGAGAAATACATGAGGTGGGTATTAATACAAAGAAATGCAGCATCAGCTAATAGGATCAATCTTTATTTGAGTTTCCCTGTGTAAATAGCTTGGGCATATACGCTTGTCAAATGAACGACTAGAATGGTTATACATGACTGGCGATCAAAAGATCCCATGCTGTGAGTCTTATTGCATCTGACAACTACAGTAAAATGCAATGGCATTCAATAAGGTGTGAGCCTGTTTCAAATGAACTTCAGATACACAGTAGCTGCTTTGCACATCAACTCAACTAGTGTCGACATAAAGGGGTAAATATTTCTCAAGCTGAGGTCCAGTTTCCCTGAATGTGCACTTTAGAAAACCAACAATTTCTGCTGAATTGTATATTACGCATTTTAGCACTATTTTATAAACAACATGACCAGAATGGATCAAGTGCATGTGCAGATTACAAATTATATTAAAGACAACAGCATAGATAGATAGATAGATAGAGAACAAAACAAAACGCCGGTCATGAATTAGAAGTACAAACCGAGGATTTGTAAAGAAAAATGTCAGAGGATTTCGATATAAGCCAAGAGGAGACTGCTTTTCCTTTGCTAAAGTAAGGACACTTTCTTCTTCTTCGTGTTTTTATAATGGCGGGTGGCAACTAACATTTAAGGTGCATATCCGCCACCTACTGTGCTGGAGTGTGGACCAGAAATGTATACTTATCAGTAAAGAAACTTTGCTTCCTTTGCTCCTATAGTGCAGAGATTATCTTACTATAGGGAGATGAGAGGGTCTGTATTACTTACTATTGGAGAAAGCGTAACGGCTAACTTGGATCACGTGTCCCTTAATAACCAATCACATTACAGCCTCGACGTCATTGAATTTGTGCGACACTCACCCGTTTACGGATCCCATAGGAATGAATGAGAAATGCCGTAAGCTGAATCCCACCTGTCGCAAAAAGTCAGTGACTTCACTTATAAAACGACATTTTTTTCATGGTACACTCTAAAAAATAGTTCATCCAAAAGTATTGTTTAGTGTAAAACATGTTGAAGATTAGCAGATAAGCTGTCGATTCATTAAATGATAAGCCGTTTCCTCCAAAAAAAAAGCTGTTTATTCAGTGTGGTGTAGCCTCTCCTCCATTGACATCCATTAAAAAAAAGGGCCTCTGGTCTCCTTTCCCATGTACTGCCAGACCGGAAGCGTTAGCTTTAGCCGTTACGCTTTTTCAGCTAATGGTTGCAGGCTTGCCTTCTAGTGGCTTTGACTTGTGCCTTGTCCAAATACCCGCACTTGCAGTCTTGGCCACTTGAGAGTGTGTGCACGCGACAGGAAGTAAGTGCGCAAGACTGTCCCAGGTCTTAAAAACGCTGAAGGGCAGTGACCTGAACGCACACTAAATCACAACGAAGATCACAACTTTTGATATAGATCTTTTTTTGTTATAGCCTGTGTTTCATGCAAAAACAACTACAAACTAAAAACCAGTAGCCTAAACAAAGACTCATCAAATTTTTTTTTTTAGAGTTAATTATTTTACAGATTTTTTTTCCTACATTTTTTTAAAAGTTGGATTCTTTTCATTCTGGTATTTATTCATGTTTTTCTATTATTCATGTTTTTCTTTGTTCATTTGGCAGATAAAACTAATAATACATGCAATGTTAAAAAATGTTGAAAATAGATTGATTCACTGACAAAACTGTAAAACATACAAATCAGAAACTTCACATTTTGATAGATGAACATAAAACAAATGCATAAAATGTGCGAATGTATGAAAGCATCAATCTGATCATTTTTTTGGGGGGGGGCAGATCTGCTTCACCTATCACACAACAATCCCCCCATCCGTGAAATTCCTCCTGCAGCAATTCAATGCTGGAATATTCAGCCTACAAGTGAAGAAGACAGAGTTTATGAAGGAAATGAGTGATCCTGAACTCTGCAGAATAAAACCACAGATACTGAAGAACAAAGAGGTTGGTGTTTTTTCCTAATTCTTCTTTAAAGGTTCTGAAGAACATTAAAGGTATCGTTTGCCCTAATTTGAAAATTAAGTCAGCATACTCATCCTGGTGTTGTTCTAATATTGAATGGCCTTTTATCTTCATCGACCCACAAAAAGAGAATTGAAAAAAAAAATGTCCTGCTCATGCTCATCCATATAAAGGCAGAGAAATAGTGAGTATCACAAAAAGTATCACAGACTGATCCAATGTGACATGTGCCGTATTTTCCAAGTGTTCTGGGGGTATATAATAAGGTTTGGTGAAAAATAAACCAAAATTGAATGCATTATTTAACAAAAATCCTGACCTTGGCCATTGGCCTTTCATGCTCGACTGTTTCATGCAAGAGCCAGTGTTTTAATAAATGTGAAGTGTTAACATGATCAGTGTTGTCAGCTAATGTATTAAATTTAGATATGTAAAAGTAGTGAAGCATTTTTTTAAGTTTTATGTTTCAATACAAATGCAAAACAATATATAATTAATTGTCTTGTTTACAACCTTGCTTCATTCTATGAATCAGCGTTTTTAATGAACTTTCTCTTAAAGTCAGTCTCTTGCTGCCACCTACTGGCGAAACTATGTAACCTGCACCGACATCGTTGATAAATCGCCATCATTAAGATACAGAACGTTTCTCAACACCTCACCCTTATCCACCGCCATCACTACGAATTCATACAGGTGGTTGGGCCTCTCGTAATCCAGAGGGCCTGCCGGGAATATGGTGCCATGGGCTGAAATTATGAAATCTGGACTAAGCGTGTAGTATGTGAGCTCTGCATTCTGCTCCGAATCACAATCACTGGCTGATACTGCAAAAGAGAGAGAAATACATGAGGTGGGTATTAATACAAAGAAATGCAGCATCAGCTAATAGGATCAATCTTTATTTGAGTTTCCCTGTGTAAATAGCTTGGGCATATACGCTTGTCAAATGAACGACTAGAATGGTTATACATGACTGGCGATCAAAAGATCCCATGCTGTGAGTCTTATTGCATCTGACAACTACAGTAAAATGCAATGGCATTCAATAAGGTGTGAGCCTGTTTCAAATGAACTTCAGATACACAGTAGCTGCTTTGCACATCAACTCAACTAGTGTCGACATAAAGGGGTAAATATTTCTCAAGCTGAGGTCCAGTTTCCCTGAATGTGCACTTTAGAAAACCAACAATTTCTGCTGAATTGTATATTACGCATTTTAGCACTATTTTATAAACAACATGACCAGAATGGATCAAGTGCATGTGCAGATTACAAATTATATTAAAGACAACAGCATAGATAGATAGATAGATAGAGAACAAAACAAAACGCCGGTCATGAATTAGAAGTACAAACCGAGGATTTGTAAAGAAAAATGTCAGAGGATTTCGATATAAGCCAAGAGGAGACTGCTTTTCCTTTGCTAAAGTAAGGACACTTTCTTCTTCTTCGTGTTTTTATAATGGCGGGTGGCAACTAACATTTAAGGTGCATATCCGCCACCTACTGTGCTGGAGTGTGGACCAGAAATGTATACTTATCAGTAAAGAAACTTTGCTTCCTTTGCTCCTATAGTGCAGAGATTATCTTACTATAGGGAGATGAGAGGGTCTGTATTACTTACTATTGGAGAAAGCGTAACGGCTAACTTGGATCACGTGTCCCTTAATAACCAATCACATTACAGCCTCGACGTCATTGAATTTGTGCGACACTCACCCGTTTACGGATCCCATAGGAATGAATGAGAAATGCCGTAAGCTGAATCCCACCTGTCGCAAAAAGTCAGTGACTTCTCTTATAAAACTGCATTTATTTTGTGGTAAACTCTAAAAGTAGTTAAATCCAAAAGTATTATTTAGTGTAAAACATGTTGAAGATTAGCAGATAAGCTGTCGATTCATTAAATGATAAGCCGTTTCCTCCAAAAAAAAAGCTGTTTATTCAGTGTGGTGTAGCCTCTCCTCCATTGACATCCATTAAAAAAAAGGGCCTCTGGTCTCCTTTCCCATGTACTGCCAGACCGGAAGCGTTAGCTTTAGCCGTTACGCTTTTTCAGCTAATGGTTGCAGGCTTGCCTTCTAGTGGCTTTGACTTGTGCCTTGTCCAAATACCCGCACTTGCAGTCTTGGCCACTTGAGAGTGTGTGCACGCGACAGGAAGTAAGTGCGCAAGACTGTCCCAGGTCTTAAAAACGCTGAAGCGGAGTGCCCTGAACGCACACTAAATCCACACTATCTCAAATACCACTCTGGAGCTTAGTGTATCCCATCATGCATCATGTTCTGAAAATAAATCGTGAGACTTTTTGCCAAGATCGCGAGAGGTCACGTAAACCTTTCCAATGTAAGTTAAATATTACTAATAATTAGATATTACATATAATTTGGTAGTAAAACAAAGTGCTACACATTTTATTGGTGCAAAGGTGAGTATATTTATTTTGTACATCATTTGCAACTGCTTTTTATCACTTCATTAGAAGCACCAGAAACTAAATTGTCATCTGTTATAGGGACTACTGAACATTAAAATTAATAGTATTGAAAATAAAAATTTTAACTCTGTAAACACTTGCGTTTTTACAATACGCAAGTGTGTCCCATCAGGTAATGAAAAGTTGTACACACAGTTGTGGTCTTCATCCTCACTTACAGGAAATACGTCATATAAGTAGTCAAGTGATCAAGTGCAAAGACCGCAAGTGTGGGTATTTGGACAAGGCAAAACTCGTGAGACTAGCATATCTCAGAGGTGTAACACCGCCGGAACACCTTCCGTGTATGCCAGATACCGGAAGTGAGAGAAAAGTGTTTATTACGTTTGAAATATGGATATTTTTCTTATGAAAACACATGGATTCACTACAGGAGGCCTTTATTCACCCCCCGGAGCCGTGTGAAGCATGTTTTATTATGGATGCTCGCACTTTATTTGACGACTTGTGGACAGTTGAACAGAAACACCCGCTGACTGCAATGATAGAGCTTGGGA